GGAACCACAAAGATGGTCTGAAACTAAAACATTAACTAAAAGCAATTATGGTGGGTAGTCATGCCCTAGGCCAATCTTTACCTTAACTGAGCCTATTGTCTTTTTGTATCTATGATAGCATATTTTTGAAATGTCAAGGTAACTTGTAACTTCCCTTTTTCTGGACTCCTCAGGACACAACCAAAGGCCAGGGCCTGAAGACAGATACCACAAATTCCTTCATTATTGTTATGTTAACTATTGACTTAAATATCCTGTATACACCTAAGTAAAAGAAGTATGTGTCTATTCAATCCCAGAGGTTTCCCCTGCTTTGATTTCTTCTGCCTTTCTAATTTATCTCCAATAGATTTCATGTAACCAACCCACTTCTGCCTCCTCCTTTGATTGTAATGTATAAAAATAGGTGAAAAACCACCATTCTTTGTAGCATTATCCTAATTTGTTGAGATTCTGCTTTTAGCAATTGTTGAGTTTGGCTCAAGTAAACTCACAAAAATTCTTTACAGGTTTGAATGTTTCAACAACTAGAGGCCTAGCTGTCAGCCAGATACTCCCTCCCTTCCCCTGGCTGGTCAAGGGGACAATTTGCATACTATGCTTTTATTATATAGGACTAGAGGTCCAGTGCAAGAAATTCGTGCACTCGGGGTGAGGGGGTGCAGGGTCCCTCAGCTCAGCCTGTTCCCTCTCACAGTCCGGGACCCCTTGGGAGATATTTGACTGTTGCAGAGGAGGGAGAGGCTCCCGCCACTGCTCGTGCCTGTGGGGAGCGGGTCTAAGCTGCAGTCTGGCCTCCCTCTGTAGGAGGCCACTGGCAGCCGAGAGACCTGAGTCCTGGGTGTCAAAGCTGCTGTGGCTTTGTCCGGATGGATGTCTGGAAATTGCCCACCCTAATTAGCATATTACCCTTTTATTAGTATAGATAATTACATTTCAGCTAGTGCATTTAAAGTCTCATCTCAGCTGGGTTGTTATTTTTTGTCAAGTTATTGAAAACACAATGGCAGAGGTTAGCAGATTGAAGGATTAAATCTATATACTACATATTCTTTCCTGTCATTTTCATTGATACAATAAGATCTGCACTGCATTAGAATATAAACTTTTCTTCTTTAATCCACCTGTTCCCCCTTAATGGGTTTAAATAATGGCAAACCAAAAAAATTAAGTGACTATGGATCTGAGCTTTAAAAAACTTTGTGTGCTCCATTTCCCTCTAAATATCACACCACCAACCTTTAGGATTTTTAAGAATTTTGTATGAGTATCAGTCTATTAGATATTTCAGAATGCTTTATTATATAGCTTAAATTTTTTTTACAGTGTCATCTATTTAAAATAGAACTCCACACAATGAAGACTGCTTTCTTCATTTTCTTTCTACATTGTTTGAATATTTTATAAGACAAAATGTATTACTTTTGTAATAAAAAAGACTTTTGCAATGGTTCAAAATGGCTAATAAGTGTTTTGTCAGCCTGACCAGCATTGCTCAGTGGTTGAGCATCAGCCTGGGTTGTGGACTCAATCCCCAGTGGGGTGCATGCAGGAGACAGAACCAAATTCTCCTGCCTTTCCCTTTATATCCCTAAGCCAGGACTAGGTCAATTAGGTTTCCAGAAGACCCAAACCAGGTCCTAAAAGTCCCTATACTGCTCCAGTCAAAGCTCACTCAACATTTGTTCCACAAATGAATAGCTCTCATAATTATTCTTATCTTTCAATTCTTTCTTTCACTGATTTTTGTTCCTGCTCGTCCCCCATAAGTTTATCTACTGGCAACTTTAAGTTACTTATTTCCCTCAGTTCATTCTAATAAAAAAATTAAACAAGGACAAACCTTTGAGTAGCCAAAATAGGTCTCAAAGACCAAAATATGCTTATTTAATGTGGGTCTCCCTACAATTCTCACTATAATTAATTTTCATTATTATTTTAGACTAGAAGCTCAGTGCACGAATTCATGCACAAGAGGTCCAGCCAGCCGTGGGGAGGGGCTGCAGGCGGGGGCCAATAGCGTGGGGGAGGGGCCATGGATGGTTGGCCAGCTGGTCCTGCCCCTCATTGGATTAGGGGGCTGATGGGGGTGCAGCTGGCTGGGGGGAGGGGCTGCGGAACAATCAGAGGTGGGGCTGGCAGGGGGAGAAGGGCTGCAGGACTTGCCATCCTCAGTCAGGATGGGAGTGGATGATCAGGGGTAGGGCTGCTGGGAGTTGGGGCCGAGGACACACCTCTAGATCGGGCCAGTTCAGTGGCAGCAGTGGGTCTCCATCAACCAGACGGATCATTCTGGTTGATGGAGATACACACACACACACACACACACACACACACACACTAGGGGCCCGGTGCACAAAATCCCTCAGCCCAGCCTGCACATTATCCAATCTGGGATCCCTCTCCCGATCAAGGAGTGCTAGCTCGCAACTGCTCATCTGCCTGCCTTCCTGATTGTCTCTAACCACTTCTGCCTGCCAGCCTGATCACCTCCTAACCACTCCCATGCCAGCCTGATTGATGTCTAACTGCTCCCCTGCCAGCCTGTTTGTCCCCAACTTCCCTCCTCTGCCAGCCTGGTCACCCCCAACTGCCCTCCCCTGCAGGGTTGATCACCCCAACTACCCTCCCTTGCAGGCCTGGTCCATCCCAAATGCCCTCCTCTGCTGGCAATATTGTGGTGGCCATCCTGTGTCCACATAGGGGCAGGATCTGTGACCACATGGGGGCAGCCATCTTGTGTGTTGGAGTGATGGTCAATCTGCATATTACTCTTTCATTAGATAGGGGGAAAATATGCATATATAGATCTATCCCTAATATCCTTGGTTATCTAGTTTTCTCAACAGATTAGAAAGGTGGGGGCTGTATAAGGCCAGATCAATAATTTGGTATGGCCCTGACAAGGCATTAGGGGTGAGTTAATTAAATGTTTAAACAAATGTAGAAAGCTCATTTTTAAGTTGATAATTTTGTATTGCCTGTGAATGTTGTTATAAATATCTAAATGGCCCTTGGCAGAAAAAAGGTTCCCCATCCTTGATCTATACTTACATGCTTCACTACTTTTATTTTAATTCTACATTCAAATTGTTTTGAAAATATTAACTAAAAACCACTCTAAAGATAAAATAGTTCTATTTTTAAAAATATTTAAAGTCATTAAATGAAAATCTACAATTCACTTTAATTAAAATGTCCCATACAGCAGGTTAAATGTTTTCATTTCTTGCCCCAGAGTGTTAGTTTTTACATTTCTACAAGTAGAACAAAAAAATGTAGAGAAGCCACTTTGTAACAATGAGCTTTCCGAAAACATAATATTCTAGTTTATAATTCATATAAATACACTGCCTTGAACCAAAATCAGACATTTATAAAGTTTTATCTGAAAACATTAAAAAGACAGCTGCATTTTAACTTTCACCCTGTAACTTATTAGACACTAAGCAGTAAAGGAATATTCAAGAATCTGATTTCTATTAATAGTATCAAATCCCAGGGTATTGTCAATTACTTCTGAGGACACTGAAGTTTCTCATCTATAACTGATATCTTTTGCACCTTTGAAAGTTTAATCACAGCATACTTCTGCACATATCTTGAAATAAAATCATTTTGTAAAACAATTCCAAAAAGGTCGGAAACTATGCCTCTTAAATAATATTTCTTAAATAACTAAAGATGTAGAAAACTTTACATTAAATGAGACAGATAAACATACACTACTCTAATCTCACTCAAAGGTAGCCACCGATTAAAAATCAATTCCATTTAGTGACGACCAACTTAAATACTATTCAATTTTCACATCTCTGCAAAGCAGGTACGTAACATTTACTATTTTTAAAATATAGATGGACAGAAAGTTGCTGGTTTAAATTTAGCATTATGACAACCTCAACTGGTGTAGATAATGGCAATTCCAAAACATAAGCAGCAAATATAAGATTATGGCATTATTAGATTCTTGGTGTAAAGTTGTTCTGCAGCCACACATACAAGTCCGCATGATAATTAGCCATGTGGACTTGTGAAGTGTTCAAAGGTTTAACTGCAGAAGAGAGTCAAAGTTTTTATTTTTTTTTCCTCTCCCATAAAGTGCTATGATTGGGGCTGAGGGGGAGGCAGGGTTCTACCATTCCGAGGACCCGTTCCGTTCGTTAATCTGGACTTGAATTTGAGCCTGGATTTGAAGGGGGCTCTCAAGCAAAAATCTTCATCACCAGAGGGTCTCAAAGTGTACCTATGGGTGTGGATTCGGTGGCGGGAGAACTTGCAGCCAAAGGATTCAAGATATACAGGCAAAAAAAAAAAAAAAAAAAAAAAGTTACCAATTCTGGGGGGAAGGGGGAAGAAGGCATGGAATTCACTTTCTCCACCCCTCACCCTCACCCTGAGAGAGACGGAACATGACACCCCTTTTTTAAAAAGCTCATTATCTCCGGTTACCATCTCCCTCGAGCTTAAGCGCCTAACCAGGGCCACGCAGTGGTGGTAGTGGCGACGCCGGCATCTCCCTCCCCCACCTCAGCACCCACACCAGAGGGCCCGCCAAGGAAGCCCTGGCCCCACCCATCCACCCACCCCATCTCCACTGAGGACTCTCAGGCCAAGGCCTGCAGCACCCCGCGCGCGTGCTCCACGCCATTAGCCACCAAGGCCTCCGGCGCCCGGCCACTGACTGCTTCCTCTTACTCCTGCCACAAAGCCCTCCGAGGCCAAGGCCGAAGGGTCGGGTCCGCCGCACGCCACCAAGGCCGGGGCGCTGGGACCCCCGGGCCCGGCCAGCGCCCGGAGGAGCCCTCGGGCCTCATCCCAGCGCTCGGGGCCCGGGGCCCACGCACCCCGAGCTTCCCTGGTGCACCAGGAGCTGTCCCCGCTCGGGCGCGCCACCGGGCCCCGCGCACTGCCGCGCCGGCCCCGGCCCCGGCCCCGGCCGACCCCCTCGTGCTCCCCGCGGCCCCAGCCCCAGCCCCCGCGCTCCCCTGCGCTCGCACCGTCTCCTCGGGGTCGATGTCGATCTTGAAGGTCTGCTGCTGGAGGGTCTTCAGGGTGACCTGCATGGTGCCGCCGCGCAGCTCCGCCGCCGCGCCTGCTCCTCCAGGTGCTGGCCGCTGGGCGGGGTCTGTGGCCTGGCGTGGCCCTGGGGTCGCCCGCGCTCCTCCTCGTGCGCTCGGAAGGAAGACGGTGGGGGTGGGGATTTGTCACATTCGCCCAGCGGGGCCGGCCTCTCCCCGCTGCCGTGGCCTCGGGCCGCGCGGCTGCCTGCGACTGCGGCCTCTCCCGCGAGATCGGGCCGCCTCGCTTCCTCAAGCACCAGCCCCCTGAGTGGTGCAGGAAGCTCGAGAAGCTCTTCCGAGACAAGCAAGAGAGTCCGCTAGCTCACCACGGGCTGGTGGCCGCCATCATCGTGACTCGCCGAGAGGTGCCCCTTCCCCCACCCGAAAAACCTGTGTGTGTGTGTGGGGGGGGGGTAATGGGGCCGGGCGGCGCAGTGCGCAGGCGCAGGTTGCGGCGAGGCTGTGCGCCGGCGCGGCCAGGAACTCCGCCCCGGAATTGGGGCGGGGCGAGCGCGGCTGCGGCACGCCCGCGGCGTGCGCAGGCGCAGCAGTGCCCGGGTCTCGTGGGTTTCAGGGATGCCTCGTCGCGTCCGCCACCTGGGCGGTTCTCCCGCTCGCCGCCGCTCCGCCCACGTCCAGGCTCCGCCCCCGGCGGCTCGAGTTGCGCAACCCGTTGGCGTAACCGGGAGCGCGACGTGGAGACCCGACTCGGTGGATTCCCATGCCCTGCAGCTGGGGAACTAGAGGGCGGTAGGTCGGGGCCCGAGCTAAGTGAAAGGATCACGGTTACCACCGACATGAGCCCGGCGCTTACCAGATGCTTGCTGTGTAGCTGAGCCTGTTTGGGGGTGACTGGTGCTCTAATCTTGAGAGCACGGACTAGTGTACCTTGAGCCTAAAGAAAGGGGCCCATAATAAGGTGACCAGACGTCCTGCTTTTGGTCCCGATTTTTAAAATCGGTACTTTTTTTTAAAACGCCGCGGGACGCGGGACAAATTGTTCAAAATCAGGACGTCTATTCACCTTACCATAACAGTCAAGCTCTTTCACCCTTTGGGCAGAACTGTGCAGTGGTGTGTCTCATCTCACCCAGAGTGAAAAAGTTGTCAAAACTCGGCCCTTACTTAGCTCTTGCCTCTCGCCATGTCCCTCTCCCCGCTAGCTCTGGGAGGTGGGGATGGCGAGTGGTAGGCATCCGGCTGCCTTTGCACCAGCTGTTCCCGACCCGAGTCCCCTCTTCCCCAGACACCTGGGTGGCCCAGTCTCTCTCCTCCTTTGAATCTTTACTCATATGTCATCTGCTCAGGGAGATCTACCTTAGATACCCGACTGAAAGCCGCAATTTCCCTAGCTCCAGGAACCTGCTTTTATTTTATTTTCTATCTATAGCATTTATCATCTTACGTTTTTCACCTCCCTTCTCTAAACCCCAGACTGAAAGCGTACAAAGGCAAGGATCTTGTTTTGTTAACCGATACAGAAACATGCCTGGCACATAGACACACAAAGGTTTGTGGAATGGGTGAATGGGCTTCGGGTTCCTCGTCAATCAAATGAGGATGCTAATAGCATTCAACTCTATTGATTATTGGGGGCAGGGGGCAGGGGGAGGGTGTTGGATAATGTATGTAAAAATCTTAGTAACAAGGAACATAATAAGCAGTCCATAGTAGTTAGCTATGAATAGGATGCCCATTTACAGATAGGAAAACTGGGGTATAGAGACGTTGAGTAATGTTTCTGGAGATACCCTCCTAGTAAATGGTTAATCCAGAATTTGAACCCAAACAGAATGGCCCCAGAGCCTTTGCTCTTAGCTGCCTGGTTATTCTGTGTCTTAATAGGGGACATGAAGGTACTCCCTGTGGCACATTTGACTTTAAGAGGTTCAAGTAAAAAGCTGACACGATTAGATTACTAGCTATGAGACCCACAACGTATTTCTGTGGGACAGCAGCCCTCCCTGATACACTGTCACTGCTTGGTGTTCCATGGACACTAGGACTTCAGATAGGACTTTGTGGAATTTCCCCTCACCTACCTCCCTCTTCACAGCAAGTATTTACCCATTTTGTAATTCAATATCTAACCCTCTGCCTTCTGTTTTCCTGTATTTACTATTCGTTACCAGGTGGTCTCATCTTGTCCCTTGTTTTGAAACTTAGCAGAGCCCAATATTGATTTCCCTCCCTCAGAGCCTCTCTTCCCCCTGAAACTTTCTCCTCTCCCAGTTTCCTTCGGCATAGTTCCTGGCACCACCATCTTACCCATCAGCCAAAAATCTAGTCGTCATCTCTTAGAGGTCTTCTTCCTCCACTTCAACCACCACATCTAATCCATCATCCAGTCCTATCAACTTTATTCTCCAAACCGTATTTCAAGATTCAACCACTTCTCACCATTTCTCCTTTTATCACCTAGGCCAGTGGTCGGCAAACTCATTAGTCAACAGAGCCAAATATCAACAGGACAACGATTGAAGTTTCTTTTGAGAGCCAAATTTTTAAAACTTCTTCTAATGCCACTTCTTCAAAATAGACTCAACCAGGCCATGGTATTTTGTGGAAGAGCCACACTCAAGGGGCCAAAGAGCCGCAGGTGCCTTGAGAACTGCAGTTTGCCGACCACTAACCTAGGCTAATCCATCATCCTTCATCCACCTCCCACTGGTCTCTCCATTTCCATTCTTTACCCCCAACAGCCTGCCCAGGAGTCAGTGATCTTTTTTCAACAATAAATCAAATCTTGTCACATATATTCATAACTAATTACACGTTAGGACAAGATTCAACCTCTTTACCTATCCTTGGACAACTTCCATGATCTGACTCTTGCCGTATTATCTCTGGCCTCATCTTTTTCTCATTCACTGTCATCCTTCTGCACCACATTTCTTTCACCGTTCATACAAGCTAAGCTGGTTCTGGCCTCAGGTCTTTGCAGTTGAGATTATTTAATTTTGAAACTGTCTTCCAGTATCTTTAAATAGCTAACTCCTTTTTATCATTCAGGTTCCAAGTTAAATTTTACTTCCTTAGATAGGACTTCTCCAACAACTTTCATAACATACAATAAACATAACTAGGTGTATTGGTTAATAATTTGGATGTTGTGATAAAAGAAAACAGGATAATTTCAAGAGAAACAGTAAAAATGCTTTATTCAAAGTAATATCCGTCGCAAGCTACACATTTTCCCCATCTTTTAGGTAGTTGTGGATATCTTCCCAATAGAACTTTTCTTGTTTTGAGGCAAACCATTCAGAGACCCAATTTTCCACTTCTTCCTACGTTTTGAAGTGCTGCTCAGAAAGTGCGTGTGCCATCGATTGGAACAAGTAGTAATCTGAAGAAGTAAGGTCTGGTGAATATGGTGGGTGAGTTAATACTTCCCAAGCAAGATCTTTTAATATGTCTTTAACTGGTTTTGAAATATGTGATGTTTAATTATCATGAAGCAAAATTACTTTGCCGTGTCTTCTAGCCCATTCTGGTCATTTTATGATGAAAGCGTGGTTCAAATTGACCTGGGCATTCTTTATCTTTCACATTGAAATCATCACTTTTAAAGCATTTAAATCAGTGTTCACAAATATCTTGAGATGGAGCATGTTCATCATAAGCTTCCTGAAGTAAACCATAACTTTCAGCAGCACTTTTCTTCAAAATAAAGTAATGAATTAAAACTTCCTGCACATGCTTTTTTTTTTTTTTTTTTTTTTTTGGCATGGAATTCAACATTTTTAAGCGTAAAAAGATCTATGATGTTAACACTTCAGAAAATTTGACATATGAAGTTTTGAAGCTTGTTGTCAATACAACAAAATAGCATACATATCAAATCGCATATATATCAACATGTGCAACTCCATCTATTGAAAAAAAAAATCCGCATTATTAACCAGTACATCTAGTATATTGCCCTTTACCCTAGGCATGGCAAAATTCTAGGCACTTTACAGGGATAACCTCATTTGAGCCCCACAAAATTCCATGAGATAGGTGCAACACAACACTGATTTAAATTTTTTCGTGACTCTACCTGAAGTTATTATTTTTAAACTTATTTATTATCTGTCTCCCATGATTACCCCACTTCCTGTGTCTCTTCTTGGGTAGAGGAACTCACTGCCTTATTCACAGCTCTTCCCCCAGCATATAGATGGGATCCTGGAATACAGCAGGTGCTAGATGCAAATGTTGATTGCCTCTCAGCTATAAACTTATCACCCCATACCTATTTTTTTGTAAGATAGGCAAACATTTTTTTTGGTGTGCTGCAGAATTGTAGTAATGAGTTTATGTGTGCCATGACATGACAAAGGTTGAAAAATTTGCCCTTTTAGTGGGATAATAAACACATAATCTAAAATTAAAGGTATTTACAATATATCAGTGATAATAAGTATTATTCTTTTAAAAGCACATGAGGCCCAGCTGGTGTGGCTCAGTGTTTTAGCATTGACCTATGAACTAGGAGGTTATAGGTCGATTCCTGGTCAGAGCACATGCCGGGGTTTCAGGGTCAATCCCCAGGGAAGGGGTGTGCAGGAGATAGCTGATCAATGATTCTTTCTCATCAATGATGTTTTTATCTTTCTCCCTCTCCCTTCCTGTCTGAAATCAATTAAAAAATATTTTTAAAAGCACATGAAATGGGGGGGAAAGCACATTAAGAGGATCAATAGTGCTCAGAAAAAAAATAGAGTTGCTACAGAGAATGTGCCAGATATCTTTCATTCTTCTTCCATCATTCTGTCTTTCCTCTTCTTCACCCAGCAATTGGCTCCAAGAAGGCTGACCTATATGGGTTACCAGAGTTGGCTTCCTGAGGAGTCCTAGCAGTAGATGGGAGGGAGGAGAGTGAAATTAGGCAATTTATTTCTCTTTACGGTTGGCAGTGCTATTGATACAAGGTCATTGCTTCTATAGGGCAGCCCTCCAGGTGACTTTCGTCTTGCAGGTAATTGTCCTTCCAGGTTCTAATAACTGCTCTCTATGTT